AAAGTCTGCAAGACTGTTCCTCTCTACCTAGTGTCCTCAGAAGAATAGGTCCCAACGTAATGGTGAGACTCCTTCCTGACGTCTTCTGCCTGTGTGTTGGAGGACATGGTGAAAAACACTGTGCCCCCATCAGCCACAGGTGGAGACTACTGTCCCCTCCCACAGTACATCTGGGGGCTATGGTGGCCTGTCACCTAGGAGCTCCAGGAGCTGTTCTGCCCTCCTGCTTCTGTAAGGCTGTATACATCACCGGGAACCATGGCCCGGCCCAGACTCTGTGGTGGTAACCACCATCCTGAGCGGGCATCTTCCTCTGAAGTCTGGGTCAGGGAAGTCCTGCTGCGGCCTCCTAAGGCAGGTGGGAGCTTGACTTCAGGTCAGCTCCTCCCATTGGACTTTTCAGGCTGCTCACGGGGAACAGATGTGTCCATCTTTCCTTGCTCTGCTTAGTGTCGCCCCATCCGCCTCCCCCCAGCCCGCAGTGTGGGCTTCCTTTCAAGATGGTTAGGCGACAGGAGGGACATTCTTGAGGCTGGCACTTCCCATCTTTCCTCTTCTTCCCTAAAGCTTTAAGCAGGAGTGCCCCAGTGGCGAGGAGGCAGACTCAGAGAGGCTGAGTGACTTGTTTGAGATATCTCAGCTAGTGAGCAGCAGAGCAGTCTTCAAACCCAGGTGCCTCTGGTGCCAGTGCCACTTGTCACAAAAGTTCGGACGGTTGACTCTGCTGACCAGGTTCACGTGCCTTCCTGCACATGGTAGAGCGCAGCTCTGTGCCTGCCACTGCATGGCCTGCAGGAAGATGCTTGCTGCCTTGCTCTCTTGGGAGCCAGTCCTTGTCACAATTGATTTGGAGGAGCCAAGGTCTATGGGGCGTGCACAAACCTTCTGCCTTGTCTGGAGGGGACACTGGATCTTCTTCTCCCCCACTCCATGTCAGATCCTGATAACCGTGGAGGTGGAGACTGCTGCTCTCATTTATGGATGGGTGACTGTGCCTTAGGGGACTTACTGGTGGGGCCACCAAGCCTGCGGGGGTACCTGCCACACACACACAGAGTCCCCATCCAGTAAATAACACAGCTGCGATTCACACTCCACAGTCTGGTCCCAAAGTGCCAGGTCCCACCTACTCCATACCCCACCTAGCCCCTTCCACTCTGCTGTCAGATTTGCTGTTCCCTGCCTGCTGAAGACAATTTGCAGAGATGGAACCCAGGACCTTGTGGATGCTAGGCAAACATTTTACGACTGAGCTATAACTCCAGTCCTTGGAGTTTTTGAGACAGGGTCTCACTGTGTAGCTCACACTGGCCTGGAACTTGAGATACTCCTGCCTCAGCCACCCAGATGCTAGACCAATGCCACCACCCTGGCTGACTTTTGCCTCTTTCCAGCCCTGTTCAATTTGCATGTGACTCCATGCCTTCATTCCCATTGTACACGAGGATGGACAAAAGTGCCTCCTTCCCCCAAACTGGGTCGATCTCAGCCACTGGTAGTACTGGCAAGGCCTGCAGCCCAGGAAGCCCACACCTCCAGGGCTGCTGGGATTTTGCGGGGAGTGGGGTTCCAATGCAAACTGGACAGGAGCTGTTGAGCTGACCTGTGGAGGACACTGGTCAGTAGATCAGTTGCCAGAAAGCCAACAACTGCAACAGGTGATGGTGTAGGGCTGTGTAGTAACTGTTAAGTGAGGTCGGTGAGGTCACAGTGACCCCTACTTCGCGTCTTTTAAACACAAGGCCAGGAACAATTAAAAGAAAGGGCGGGTGGGAGGGAAGGGTGGCCAGAAGGAGGCAGGGATTGTATACCTGCGTCTGGGCGGTCAGGAAGAGTCAGGCCACGGTTATGTCCCTCACCTTGGGATTGGCCTCCAGGTAATTGTACAGCACATTGATGGAGATCGTGAGGTCCCCGTTGTTGAAGGGGTACGACCGGTTCCACCCCTGGGCACCAAACTTGCGTCTCTCGGCCACCACGGCATGGAAGTAGCACAGGGCAAAGAGGATGCACTTGAACTCGATCTCTTTGGTGCACATTTCCAGGGTGTCCTGTTGGGGGGGGCACATGATCCCATCCGTGTCAGGAGGCAGTGGAAAAGGGGATTTTTACAGAAGTGCCCCAGTAGGACCAGAGCACAGTCTTTGCCAGCTTGTTTGGGAGGAGGGGGTGCGGGCAAGGATAGCGCCGTTGACCGATGGGACCTGGGGTCCCTCCTCAGACGGGCACAAGGAGCATCTTTATGAAGGCACAGGTGGGGACATGTCTTTCCCTTGCTTCTTTCCAAAATGCTGTTGTATCACAACTAAGAGTGATTCTGCTTTCTATAAAACAAACCGTGTGCTATATAAGAACACTTCAGTCAATGACAGACCATAGGTGAGGCAACGGACCCATGAGGTATCCAGTGACACCGCCATCATCACATTGGTGGCACACGTGCTTCTCACACGTCAGGGTGATGCTGCCGCATGAAAATTTAGGGGCACAGTTCTGCATGTACAAAATGCTTAAATACTTGACAAATGACTATGCTGGTGGGTTATATGTTCGCTATGTCATACTTTTAAAGCATTATTTTGATATTTTTTTGGTGGCTTCGGGGTTTGAACTCAGGGTCTCACACTTGCCAGGCAGGCACTCTACCTCTTGAGTCACTCCACCAACCCTTGATCATTATTTTGTAGTGCACTACTTATTAAAGAACACAGTTGGCCTGGCGTGGTGGCACTAGAGCTGGAGGTGAGGCTCACAGCTCTGCCTGTGCCCTGCCCCAATCTGTCACCCACAGAGACACTGCAGGCAGAGCAGATCCCAGGTTCGGATTCACAGCAGGGCCGCCTCTCCATGGCTGTACTGAGTCATTACAGACCAGCAGCCCACAGTTCTTGGGCTGGCCCTGATCCTCACTGTATGTATCCTCTAACACCTGTCACCTGGAGTCCCATTTCCAGGGAGGATACCCACACCCCTCTCCAGACTGCTGCCCGCCAGCCAGCCGGTGGGCTGGTCATCACCTGTCCCTGCACCTGCCACAAACTGGGCACACGGCAATCACAGCTTGCATAAAAAATAAGTGACTCATCTTAAACATCTGTCACTTTTTGTTTTGTGGTACTGGGGTTTGAACTCAGGGCTTTGCACTTGCAAAACAGGTCCTCTTTTGCTTGAGCAACACCCCCGGTCCATTTTGCTCTGGTTATTTTACCCAGCCAGTCCTGTTTTGGTGCCATTCCTACTCACAGTGGACCAAGGGAGGGGGGCTGAGGTAAGGAAAGATGGCCATGGAGCCAGATCTCTGGAGGGACAGCATCGCCATTTTCCCATCTTCGCCCTCACCTCTGGCCGTGGGGTGCGGGGCCCACCCTCCTGCAGTCAGCCTTCAGATCAGCTTCCGACCTCCTGAGGCAGGAGCAGGGGTCAGGGAGCACTGACCGACCCTTGGGGAGCCACCTGCGGGAGCTTGGCCTCTTTATCCAGGACCCGGTGCTGGCGGTGACACTGATTAAGAACCTTGTGTTTCTGCTGTGTCCGGCTTTAAGTACCCACGTGCGTACTTTCAGGGACATGTCGCCACGTGGGGTGCGTGTGCACGTGTGCCGGGGGTGGTGTGGATGGGAGAACACCAGAGCAAGGTGTCTCGGGTTCAGAGGTGACGTGCCCCGTCATGCTGCCCTGGAGCCACGCGCGCCCTACCTGGGTGAAGAGATCCAGGGCCTTGTGCAGGTTGGCGTACATGCCGGTGGGCGGCTCGTTGGTGATTTTGATGGCGTTTTCTAGGATGCCCTGGGGGATGATGTGTGACTCAGGGCTGGGGGCAGGCTCCGCGCTGATGAACACACGGTAGTCATCATGGCTGCCTGTGCTGTAGCGCTCCACCTTCTTCTCCAGGGTGCTCAGCCACCGAGCCACCAGGTGGATGTTCTGCAGCAGATGGAGACCGGGGGTTAGCTGCCCCACCCTGGGCCCACGGGCACAGGCCACTCAGTCGTGTCCCCTTGGTATGGGTAGGGCTCTGCCTAATGGCCCCAACACACGCCTTGAGGAGAGGTGGCTGCCCCTGTGCATCTAACCAGGGGTGTTTCCAGCAGTTCTTGCCTCGGTCATTTCAAAGCCTCCAGCCTGAGGTGAGGCCTGTGCGTCCCCCGCACCAGGCCGAGATTACTCTGTCTACAGTCCTGCTCAGGGAGCCATGAGGAGTCCAGGGGCTCTAGGCCAAGGAAGGGTAGTTGTGCTAAGGTTTAACCAAAATGTGCAGAACACATCCCCTAGGGGCTTTGGCCTTTGTCTGTGTCAAGCAAGCATGGACGTGAGGGGAGGAATGTTTTTTTGGACCCTTTTTTTGGGTGATACTAGGGTTTGAATTTAGGTTCTTACACTTGCTAGGCAGGTGTTCTACCACTTGAGCCACTCTGCCAGCCCTTTTTTGTGGTAGGTATTTTTGAGATAGGGTCTTGCTTTTCATACGAGCTGGCCTCAAACTGCCATCCTCCTGATCTCTGCCTCCTGAGTAGCTAAGATTACAGGTGTGAGCCACCCGCACCTGGCTCCATATTGGTTTTTTAAATACTGAGTCTGGTATAAATCCTGGTATTCTTCTCACCACACTTCCACTTAGCTCCCCACAATTCACCCTAGCCGGCTCAGGCCAAGCAGACAATGGTGTGCCCCGCCTTCAGGGCCTTGTAGGATTCCTGTTCACATTTTTCTTTTTCTTTTTTTTGGTAGGACTGGGGTTTGAACTCAGGGCTTCACACATGCAAAGCACATGCCCTACTACTTGAGGCACAGCTCCAGTCCATTTGGTTCTAGTTACTTTGGAGATGGGGGGGTCTCATGAACTATCGCCTGGGTTATCCTCCTGGTCTCAGCCTCCCAAGTAGCTGGGATTGCAGGTGTGAGCTACAGTGCCTGGCTTCCCATCCACATTCTTAATGCAAATCCCATAAGCTGCTCCCTTCTCCCCGCCGAGCCCCCCCGTACGGGGGACTGAACTCAGGACTTGCACTTGTAAGGCAAGCGCTCTCCCACTTGAACTGCTCCCCCAGTCCCCGTTACCTGCTTTCTTTCAGGTTCCCAGCTATCCCCACGGCCAGCTTAGCCGAGGGGGCCCTCACCTGCAGAATGACCCAGTGCCCGCTCTCTGCGGCCACATCCAGGGCGTTCTCCGCCACCACCTCTTGTCCCTGCCCCAAGGATACATTATGGAGTCTGCCGTTGTCGATGGTAAACCCCAGTTTTTTCCCTAAAGAAGGGAGACAATGAGAAAAGCCCAGGGGCGCAGGGTGGGTGATGCTGCAACAGGCTCTGACCCCCGCTGGGGATCCCACGTGCCTCCCCGTCTTGTTGGTTGGGAGGAGAAAAACCACATTGCATCAAATTTATCATTTTAAACCACCTGAAGGTGCACGGCTCAGTGCATTTAGTACACTCGCCATCTGCAACTGCCTATCTGGTTCCAGTCCAGGTGCCCAGGAACAGCCACCCCTACCCCACCAATCTGCTGTCTGTCCCTGTGGATTCGCTTGTTGTGGACACGTGAGCTCTTTGTGGCTGGCTTCTTCCATTCCACCAAGCACACTGTTCTCAAGGTTCGTCCACGGGGTAGCCTGTGTCAGAGTTCCACTCCTTTTCATGGCCGAATAATATTCCCCAGCATGGCTCTACCACATCTTGTTCATGCACTCATCAGTGGGATCACTTCTGCCTTTTGGTGACTGTGTTGCTTGAATGCCTGTCTTCAAAGTGTTTGGGAGCCTACCGGAGGTGGAATTGCTGGATCATACAGTAACGCTGTGTAGCTCGAGAAACCAACAAACCGTGTTCCAGGCCGACCGCACCGGTTCCCATCCCTCCCGGTGGTTTCTCCGCACCCTGTTCTTCCTCCACTGATGTCGCCTAGCCATCCTAATGGGTGTGCAGCGGCAGCAGCAGCTGTGGTTTCCCTTTGCATTTTCCTGACGTGAGGACGCCGACACAGGCCCCGTTTCTGGAGGACACTTACCCAGGGCTTCCACGTCTTTCAAGGGGTCCACCCCCGGAGACAGGATGAAGAAGATTGGTGTGGAGGGGCTGCTTTCCTCGTAGGACTTGGAGAACTCTACACTCCGGCCTTCCACGAACTTGCTGCCCATCTTCTCCTCCACAAAGTTCCTGCAGGCGACGGTGCTTGGTCAGACCCGCAGGCAGTGGGGACCCGCTCTAGTCCAGGGTGAGGGGAGTGGGGTGGGCTTGGCCCAGTGGACTTTCTCCAGCAGACACTGCTCCCCCTTCAAGGGGAAGGGGTGGAGTCTGTGAGCTTTCTACCTCGACTTTATTTGTTCTGGGTGCCCTTTGCCTCCAGGGCAAGCCCTGCGCCTCTCCTGAGGCAGCCCCTGCAGTACAGGGAGGGCAGCCCTGGGTTTGAAAGGCAGGTGAGGCCAGAGGAAGGAGTGTGGGGGGGCGGGTGAGAAGGAAGGAGCTGCTGTGGGGAGCACCACACAACACGGATAATATGAATCGAAGAAAAAGCAACTTCAGAATACAGAAGCCTCCATCTTTACCAAGCCCCAAGCCCTTCTTAACTTGATCCCAGTAAATCCGGGTCAGTCGAGGCCTCATCCTCTCGTGGGTCATCTAGTGTGTGGGTGATCTGCCTGGCGCTCATGGTCGCAGGGGCCTGGGCTTTACTGTAATCTCAACTCTTCTAAGCTGGAGCTGGTAAGCTCTTGCTGTCCAGCCCGGGTTTTGACAGGAGCTGTGGCTGTGGATCTGCTCCCCTGAAGCAGTGAGCATGAGCACCCCCGGGGTCAGGGAAGACGTCCCACCATCTGCTCTGCTCCTGACGGCCAGCCAGCTGCACCAGCCCCTTCTCCCTGCTTCCTGCTCTCCAGGACTTTGGGGCATCTCATCCTTCACGTTTCCCTGCTCCAGCTGCTGCAAGGTTCTGCAGTTTCCTGAGCCGGAGCTGACTAAAGGCGGTGAGGGTGGGGACAGTAACAGGGTCGGGGGTGCTGCTCTTCCTGAAGCCCTGGGTTCTGTTCAGTCCAGGCCTTTGGAATGGACTCAGAACACAGATGCCGTGACCCTGGCCCATGAAGAGCCTTCTAGATGAGGTCAGGGCTGGGAAGAAACTAAATCACCTTTGCCCAGCATTTGGCCAGGCCAAATAATTTAGTTTTGCAGAATCAAGGCAGCTACCTGAAATCCAACTGGCCAGGGCTTTTCACCTGGGCCTCTCCCAAATGCGGCCCGGCCCTCCTCCAGCGCCCCTGCAGGACCCAGCCCTGCTTCCTCCCCCCTCACAGCCCCCAGCTCAATGCTCCCGATTTCTTCTTTCACTCCACCCCCTTCCCTTCCAGCCTGCCACTCCTGGCCTCTTTCCTCTTCCACCTGAGAAAGACAAAGCAACAAAAGAGTCTGGGAATAGCAGCAAGGGTGAGTCAGGGTCTGCTTTGTCAGAGGGGAATTCTGATGGGGACACAGGTGTCTTTTGGGAATTCTGGCTGTGTCCAGGCTGCTGGGAGAGATGGAAAGAAAAGGAGCCACCCAGCCCAAAGAGGCTCTGAGAACAAGCAGGCCCTGGACCTATCTTCGGTGTTAAAATCCCGCCTTGTCTTTAACGGCCCGTCCTCTTCCAACACAGAAGGGTTCAGAAAAGGCGCGTTCAAAATTAGAGCAATTCACTTGCAACTAGCCAGAAGTGACATCCATACAACAGTGCCACTAAGGCCAGTCACCGAGGGACTGAAAGTCCTTGGATAATGATGGCTTTGCCACTTCCTCCCCCAACACCCTGTAAAAGACCCCATTTGACCACAGAGGACATTAACTTGGCTTTCAGCCTTGGAGGCTGACACGGAGAGCCCCATCTCCCTGTCACATGTCAGTGGGGCGAGGGGTCCCGCTGACCGCACCCTAGACACATCAAGAGTTAACAAGAATTCAGGGTCAGAGTTGGTCCACCAAAGACCCATGTGGGCAAGAGCCTTGTTCCTTCCTCTGCGGGAGGGGGTGGGAGGGCAGGTTAGGCCCCGGTCCCCTGGACACTCACTTGACGGCGTAGGTCATGCGGTCAGGTCGCATACAACGCACCATGCACAGCTTCTGCAGCGCCGTCTTGTTCTTCCACTCCTTGGGGAAGATCTCCTTCTCGGGGGCTTCCGACTCCACCAGCTTCTTCCACCGCTTGGCTGAGCCTTCGATGTCGCTGTCCAGGTTTTTGAACTCGTCCATCTCCGACAGGGCCTAGGGCAGACGCAGCGGTCCAGGTGACTGGCTGCTTGACCTGGGTCAGTAGGTACCTTCCCCTATGGCCTTAGTCGGGTCCCTGAGAGGCCATCGTCTCGGGAGGAGCCCGAGGCCATGACTGTCCTTCCTGCCAGCTGTAGGCTGACCTCCATGAGAGGAAGCCAGCCTCAGGATGGGAGCTCGCCCCTCCAGCTGCGAGGCCGTGACAGCTCGAGGCTGCCTCTCATAGGGTCAGGACAGACAGAGGCCATGTGCCTTGGCAGTACTCTCCTTCCTCAGGTGGGTTTGGACTGAGATTCGAGACCTGGGAGCTGAGGGTCCCTGGCAGTGTGTCCGGGATTTTTTTTTTTTTTTTTTTTTTTGGTACTGTGGTTTGAACTCAGGGCCTTCACTTTGAGCCACTCTACCAGCCCTTTTGGTGATGGGTTTTTTTTCCAGCTAGGGTCTTGTGAACTATTTGCCCAGGCTGGCTTGAAGGCCCATCTTCCTGATCTCTGCCTCCTGAGTAGCTGGGATTACAGGCGTGAGCCACCTGCGCCCAGCTTCCAGGAATCTGAGGTAATTTGACACTCTGCCCTTTCCTGGCACCGGGGTTGCTGGGGGAGGTTCCGCCTTGGATAGCCTGGGGCCTGTTCTGGCTCCCTGTGGATGTGGCTCTGTGCTGGGCCTGTGCAGGCTGGCAGGGACTTAACAATGTCACACTCAAGCAGGAACCAGAGCTTTCTGGGAGCCGGCATCACCCCACTGAGCTCTGTCCTCTTTCCTGAGTCTTACTGTGGGCCCTCGCCCCTGTAACCTGCTTCCAGTAGAGACCTCCATAGTCGGACCTGCCCAGGGCCGAGACCGACCTTGATCCCGCCCCAGCTCTGGTGCTGCAGGAAGTCCACCGGTGACACAACCCCCGCCTTGAAGGGAAAGCGCAGGAGGAAATCCAGCTCCACCGGGTTCAGCTCCTTCTTCATGGATAAGACCTGGGGACCGTGAGGGGCACACACTTGACTCAGGCTGGCAGTGGGGGCGGGAGGGCCCTCCCTGGTCACCAGGTACAGGACAGGTGAGGGGAGTTCACACTGTCCTGGCCCCCTTGGAGTCAGGGCAAAACTTTGTCTTCACCTGCATTTTAAAAATTGTGATAAAATACACGTCACAAAGCTTGCTGCGTTAACCATATTAAAACACACAATCCAGTGGTATTTAATACGCTCATAGCGCTAGGCCCCCACCATAATCTAGTTCTAGAACATGTCCACCGCCCCAAATGGACACCCCATCCATTAACCAGCCACTCCCTGCTCCCTTCCCCCAGCCCCTGACAACCACCATCTGCTTTCTGTGTCTTTGGGTTTGCTTCTGGACTTTTCATATAAATGGTGTCATATGGTAAGCGCCTTTCATGACTGGCTTCTTTCACTAAGCATGTTTTCCAGGTTCATTCGTATTATCGTCTGTGTCAGCCCCAGTACCGCCACCACAAAAAAAAAAACAAAGAGGAATGTGTCACATAGGTTCCGTTTTTAAGGCTGAATAATGTTCCATTGTTGGATAGTTCACGTGGGGTTTCTCCATTCACCTCTTGGGGACATTCGTGTCATTGGGCTGTGGTGAATGCAGTAGCTCTGAATGTCCCAAGAACCTGCTTGGACACCAGTTTCTAATTCCTCTGAGTGAGATTGCTGGGGCATAGTCTCCTCCATCTTGTCACTTGTACATGTCAGCTCCCAGTCCTCCAGCCCTGGTCTGGTCATCTTTCGGTGGCTGTGTTGGGCACCCTGTGTCTCAGATGGACAGGAGAGGGCCGGGGGATAGGGTGGTGCTGGGGATTGAACTCAGGGCCTTGCACAGCTAGGCAGGGGCTCTACTACTCGAGCCACTTCCCTAGCCCCTTTTGGAGCCGGTGTCAACTTTATGCCTGGGGAGGCCTTGGACAGAGGTCCTCCTATTTATGTTCCCCACAGTAACTGGAATGACAGGCCACCGCGTCCAGCAACTGGTTGAGCAGGCGGGCAGGGGTTGGAGGGGGAGGTCTCTTGAACTTTGTGGCCTCAAACCACAATCCTCTGATCTCAGCCTCCAGTGTAGCTGAGCTTATAGGCACGGGCCACTGCACCTGGCCCTGAGAAAATCTTACCTTGAGGATTTCTAGGCAGGAGAAAATCTCACAGTGAATCTGTGATTTAGAGGCTCAGATAGAAAAGAAACTTCTGTAACTTGGACCCGGGGGCTCCAATTTTGAGTTTGTACTGAAAGCTAGGTTTGCATTGATGCCCAAGCTGCCTGTAAAGTGAGTTTCCAGCCACACCTACAACACAGCAGACAAGATCGCAGAGGGGGTGCTGTGGTTTGGACGTGTCGGGATCTTAATCCCCAGTGTGGCAGTGTTGGAGGTGGGGTGGCAGAGTAGAAGGATTACGCTGGGCCTCCTCTTGCTCCCTCTCACTGTCACCTTTGCATGGGAGGATGTAGCAAGAAGGTCCTCACAGGCAGCACCTTGACCTCAGACTTCCTGGCCTCCAGAGCTGCCAGAAATAAATTTCTATTGTCTCAGGTATTTTGTCTCAGATTGGCTGAGACCATCGTGGGTTTTTTTTTTTTTTTTTTTGCAGTACCGGGGTTTGAACTCAGGGCCTCACATGTACTAGGCAGGTGCTCTACCACTTGAGCCATTCTGCCAGCCCCATTTTGTGTTGGGTATTTTCCAGATAGGGTCTCACGGACTATTTGCTCGGCCTGGCTTTGAACCACAGTTCTCCTGATCTCTGCCTCCTGAGTAGCTAGGATTACAGGTGTGAGCTACAGACACCCAGCTGAGAGGCTGTTTAACCAGTTTAAACCAATTTAATGGAACACACATCTTTAACTACTTCAGTAGGATCGAATGAACAGCAATACAAATATTCTTCCTTGTAACACTTTCCTTTCCATCTTTTTCTTTTCTTTTCCCAACAACTCTTTTTCTTCTTGACAAGGGCTCACTGTGTAGCCCAGGTTGGCCTCTAACTTCATCTCTCCTGCCTCCACCTCCCCAGAGCTGGGATTACAGGCATGGGTCGCCAGGTCAGGCGTGCACATTTCTTTCTTAAGCATTATTCAGGGTCCACAGTTGACTCAGTAGTACTCAGCACTGCTTGAATGTGGTGAAATGACCTTCCTTTGTCAACTTCTCTTTAACAGACCCCTCTCCGCGTGTCTCCCATTGAAATACCTTGCCGACTTCCCTCACGTGGACTGAACAGAGCTCCCGGTGCGGCCCACGCTAGGCACCTCAGACGTCATGCTTACCCTGGAATCTTGTTAAAATTCAGTTTAGATTCCCCGGGCCCAGAGGTTCCCATGTCGCCGGTCCCCGGACCACAGTTTGAGTAGTTACCTGAAACGTAACTTGTGCCAGGAAGATGAGTTTGTCTCTCTCAAAGAGCCCCCGGGCCGTGTACATGAAGACGGAGTAGGTGATCTGGTCCGTCAGGTTGTTCACACGCTGCCTCACCTCGTCGGCCGGGGCGGTCTTCTGAATGGCTTTCTCAAACACCACATTGAAAGCCTGGGGGGGGCGGCCCAAGCATGGGAGGCTCCAGGACTGGACTCTGCGGCCACCCCACCATCCTTTGTGGTGGCCGCTGGCTTTCCCGCCCGGAGCACCGAGGAAGAGCAGGGTGGAGCACTCCCACCCCGGACCTCCCAGGATGCTGGTGGTGGTGGTGGTGGTCAGCTGGGTGCCTTGGCTCCCTCTCCATGCCTGTGTGCACCTGGACCTGCTCTGCCCTTGGGCGGGGGGCAGCACCCCAGCTGACCTTGAGGGAGAACTGGTAGATGGGGTTGATTTTGTTGAGGTCGTTCAAGATGAAGTACAGCAGCGAGGCCCGCTCTGCGGCGGGGCGGTAATTCTCTCTTGCTTCGTTGATTTTAGCTTCTGTGATTTTTGCCTCTTGCACCTCACAACCAATGAAAGGAGCTTGGATGAAACCAGCAGGTGGCCCCAGCCAGGAACAGGTGGGTACCACCCATCCAAAGCCTTCTGCACCCTCTGAAGTCCCCCAGGTGACCTCAGCAGACTGTGAGGTGCTGGGTGGACCCAGTCCCAGTGCTCCTGTGCCTGTGGCTCCTCCCTGCTGGCTGCCACAGCTCCTGCATGCTCTCTCTCCATTCCCTACCTTCTCCTCGATCTCGCTGGCCGTGTGTTTGGTGGTCTCCAAGTTCTCCACCAAGGCAGTGTCTCCCAGAAAGTTCCCAGATGCAGCCGACAGACGAGCCAGGAGAGAGTCTTCCAGCTCCTTCAGGACAATCTTGAATTCATTTTGAGATTTGGTGAGATTTGCCTGCAGGGGGGTCAGAGATCCGGGAAGCCAAATCAGCTGGGGCCTGGCCTTGCCTCTGCCTTCCCAATGCTTGGACCTCCCTGGAGCTGCAGTGTTGGTGCAGCCAAGGCTGGGCTTCCCCACGCACGAGAAGAACAACGTCAAGCTTGAAAGGAGCCCATGGACGTGGGAGTTCCCAGTGCAGTGGAGGGGCCTGGCTGGAGGCCCTGAGGCTTCCCGTTGTGGAGACTGTGGGGGAAAAGAATGGGGAGCAGGACAGCCGGTGGCTCTGAGTCACATGTGTGGATGAACCAGACTGGGAACGTGGCCGGCGCACTGGCAGCCAAGGCAGACCCTTCTCGTGGGGTGGGGCTTTGAGCTTTAGAGTCATGTGAGGCTCTGGGCCTCCTGCTCAAGTGCAATGGCCATTTGATTTAGAATTAAATTTGGGGACTGAATGAGGAGGGCTGGGGACGAAGGAAAGACTCAGCCTACAGGACATGAAGGTACAGTGCAGTGCAACCCGGTCAGGCACCTTCAGAGAGGAGCGTGGAGACACGTGGTGTCCACAGTGACCTGCAGGTCTGTGCCTGTCCCGGGGCTCCTGGCTTGTCTCTGTGCCACTACCTCTTGACCGGCCATTGGGGCCTGTTACCTTCAGCTGTTCGAGATCCGGGCGCTCTTTGGCCACAACAGCAGCCAACAGTTGGTCCTCAAGTCCGTCCCTGGTGACCAGGAAGTTGATAAGGGTGCACTGAGCCTGCATCTCCGGCTTGTAGTGTGGGTTGAAGTACTTGGTGTGCAGGATCAGACGGAACTTAGGGTGGTACTCCACCTCCTTGTCGCCGATCTTGATGTACCTGGCGGGAGGGTGGTGGAGGCAAGGGTGAGGCGAAGCAACAGTGCCACCTGCATACTAGCCTGGTGGCCATCTCCAGGCCAGCTGCCACCTGAAGCCCTCCTTCTGGTTGCTGGAAGGGCTCTGCAACTCTTCTTGGCTTGGGACATGGCCCTGTGGTGGCCATGTCTCCTCTCATCTAGGTGGCTGCTGTCCTCTGCACAGTGGGCTTTATGCAACTAGCTACACCTGGCGCTCACCTGGGAGCCTGGGCAGAATCATTGCCAGGTCCCATGGCTCAGAACACCATGCAGCTCAGAGGAGCAGCCTGTGTGGGAACCGAGGCTGCCAGTCCCCTGTGGACTGGCTTCTCTCTGGCTCCTTGGATCTGCTCTCCCTTCTTTCTGGTTGAAGCCACTTTTGGGGTCCCTCTCTAACTGGCTGAAGCCCTGAGAACATCAGCACTCAATACCAGGCCCTTCTCAGAGTCTAAGACGTCAACATAGCTCCTGCCCCCTCTGTCCTGGGCTTCTGCGTGCACCTCTGCCTTGAAAGTCAGCTCCCGTCAGCCCTGATGGCTGATTTCCGGCTTTTATGTTGTATCAGCTGATGTGTGGATAACCTAATTGTGACAGGTATAGCCAATGGGACATTCTTCAGTTCTAAAAAGGAGGGCAGTACTGATACATGGCTGAACCTTGAAAACACGACGCTAGGCAAAAAGAGCCAGACACAAAGAGACACAGTTCACATAAAATGTCCAGAATGGACAAATACTCAGAGACAGGGGTGGGGCGTGGGGGGGGGGGTTAGGGGTTAGGGCTGTTTAGGTCTGGGGGGAGGGGGCACGGAGAACGATGCTTAATGTATGGGAGCTTTCCTTTTGGGGGTGACAAATGTTTGGGACTAGACATGGTGAGTGTATGAAATACACTGACCCACACATGCTGCTAATTTAAAAAAGGACTGCAGTCTCAAGATTTGCACAGGAGCATGGCGCCACGCAGACGCTGCCTGGTGGAACCACTGACGGAGTTGGTGCAGGTGTGCACTCAGGGATGGAGTGACCCTCTCCGGTGTCCGCAGCACTAGGGGATCCTTTCACACCCCACAGCCTTTTGTTGGTCCCCTGTTGCTTCCCGGGGAGGCACCACCTGTCTCCCCACACCTGCACCAAGGCGGCCCACGCTGGGAGAGGTTTAGCTGGCGGCGACAATACCTCACCTTCCCTTTTTGATGGTGTTCCTGCCCAGTAATGGGTCCAGCACGGGTTCCACAGTTTCGCCAATGTTCTCGATGAGCAGGACATCACCCGCCGAAATGGCCTGCTCGATGATGTCCAGGTAGCTATGGCACAGTGCAGAAGCCAGGTCATGACAGAGGGCCGTGAAGGAGTGGTCACGTGATCCCAGAAGAAGCCCCCAAGTAAGAGTCGGGTCTCCAAGAGGCCAAAAGCTCATTCCTCCCGACAACTCATCCCTTCCTCAAAAGAGTTGACAGCTTCTTCCCAGACCACCCTGTGGGCTTGTGGGGGGAGTGGAGTGAAAGTGGAGCCACACATCATCGTGTCTCTATCCCACCTGATGTACCAGACACTAGGAAGGCAGGTAGGGTGGCCATGGCTACCCGGATAACCACAGCCATTGGTTCTCATCTGGGACTTGACCGAAAACCACAAGAGACAGGAAATGACAACCTGGGAGCCTCCCAGCTAGCCAGGGGCCAAGCAAGATGTAAAGCCACGCTGGGCGCCCGGGAGCAGCAACAGTGGGAGGAGAAAGGACCCAATTTAATTCTTCACTGCTGGGGCTCTGCCCCAGTGCCAGTGGCCAGCCTTCCTATTCCCACACCCACCCCTCTTAACGATCTGCAGTGGGCCCGAGATGTGCTCACCAGCACAGAGCCCAGCCAGCCCCCGGCTGCCCCCCGAGCACCCGGCTCTGTCTCACACCTCTTCTGTCCCAGGCGGATGGATTTCAGTTCACTCCCATATTTGTTTTTGATCCACTTGATCCCTTGAAGCTGGGCGTCCACAATCAGGGGCCAGCGCTCTGTGTTGCACAGGATGGTGGCATTCTCGGTGGACATGCGGTCGCTGGGAAGGCCCTGGTTGTTCCAAGAGGCCACGTCAGCGTCGTCTGTCAGCAGACTCAAGGGATCCAGGCCTTCTGTGATTGGGATGGGCACCTGCCAAGGAAAGGCACTCTTTCTTAGAAGGGGTGACGTGACCTTATTACTCTCTGAATAATGCTGCGTTCTGCGGTCAGACTCTGGGCGGTCCGGGAGAAGACAGCACTTTGCACCGCGGCCAGAAATGATGTCAGCCTCCAGCAAGATGGGGCCATTTCTAAACCCTGAATGGGTTCAGCCTCGGCCGGGAGGCGGGGGCTGCGTCTACCCTGCCAGGGGCCTCCCCAAATTCCCTGAGTCATGAACACAACGGGGCTTCTTACCTTTAAGTTATTCACGAAAGGAATCCAAAATTTCTCCATCAGTTCATTTCGATACTTCTTGGTGAAGTAGCCAACGTAGGAGACGAAGGCAGAGATGAGCAGGACGTCCCCACACAGGGTGACCCCCTGGCCTTTGAAGTTTTCCACCGATTCGGCCCAGCGGACGTTTTCGGACGCTAATCCCCCCACCAGCCTGCAAGGGGACATGGGAGCGCGGCGTGCTGGGGTGAAAGGGAGGAGCAGAGGGAAGCCGCCCCCAACCTGCAGACTTTCGAGTCCTTTCTTGGCTCAGTGGACTCCAGCATGTGCATCACACTTTCCAGGCCATCAACTTGAGGACAGGCCTCTGACCTTAATCCTTTGGCTAGGTCAACTCTGAGCCTACAGCTAGCTGGTGGCACCCAATAGCCCTTGGTGAAGTAGCCAACGTAGGAGATGGTTACTTTGGTTTTTTTGGCAGGTGACGTCAACAACTAACTCGCTCAATCCCATGACAGGGTTGTGCCTGCACCACTTATGTAGCCTGGGACTCTCCCAGGTCTCCACGCTGACCACTCGTCAATCAGTGGCCACCCGCCAACCAGGGCGGAGAATCTACGAGAACAAGCCAGTCCCCGAACTGACTCTACCCAGGCTCCAGGGGCTCACAGACACTTTTCTTATCCTTATTCCCAAGACAACATAGCACAACAGCTACTTACGCGGCATTCGCTCGCCTTGCACGAATACTGCACCAGTTTACCTAAGAGACTTGTGCACGCGCTCAAGGGGCCCTGGGACCCCTCCCCCAGGTATTGAGGGTCACACACTGCCCCAGGCTAAGTTCCTTTAGACACAATGGTCCAGGCAGGTCTTGGCTATTCCTTTCAGGGGCCTAAGGGACTGGAGGGTGGCCTTGGGGAGGAGCAATCACCTGTTAGCCAAGGAGATGACCCTGTTGGTGGCGTCGGCTTCCTGCTGGCACTTGATTTTCTCAGCTGTTGCTTTTTCAAACGCTGATGTTAAGTTGCTCAGGTTGGCATTGAGTTCCTGGAAGAACAAGGTGGAGAGGCCCCAGAATAATAAAGCCGGGCTCCCAGGCAGGATCTGGGCCTCCCACGAAGGCCTAGCGCCCACTGAGTTTGCAGACAGCGGGTGCCCAGCTGTCCTGGGTATGTAAAATCTGACAGAACATCTGCCCCCCACTTTGTCCTGGTGCTTAATAATTCAAGACTCAGGCTGAGCCAACGCATTTTCCACGGAGGTATTGACCGGCAGCCTGAGCCAGGGGCTCTTGTGCCTCACAGGGCTGAGAGCGAGCGAGCGAGCCAGCACTTACCGCAATCTTGTTTTTGATCCTGGTCAGCTTCTCCTGTGCTTCTGCCAGCTCGGCATTCGCCTCCTCCAGGGCCTGCCTCTTGGGGGCTACATCGCAGTACACCTCGTAGAAGCGGACGATGTTGATACACCAGGAGCACAGGCCTGCCGCGGCCGTGGACTTGGAGCGGATGAACTCAGGGTCGAACGTGGGGTTGCCTTGGTAGGGCCTGGCAAGCAAACGGGGGGGGTGGTGCTGAGTGGGGCTCTGCAGGGACACAGGGGACATAGCCCAGCTTCCATGACTGGTTCTGTGTCACAGGCCACCCTGGCCACTGATGATGGCAACTGCACAGGGAAAGTGTTAACTGATTTATTTTGGTACCTTAATGGTTACA